TTGGATTTCCAACGGTAAAAAAAAATTTAAATTTTACTTTTAAAATAGACCGTTGGATCAAAGATCAACGGTCCAGGTTTTTTTCACAAAAAGTAAATAAAAAAAAGCCCAACGGTCATAAATATGACCGTTGGCCACGTGGCAACTCCCTAGCTTTTGGATTTGAATATTTTTCAAATCCAACGGTCCAGATTAATTAACTATATTAAAATTCATTAAAAATTATTAAAAAATACAGAAAAATTATTAAAAATACAGAGAAATTTTTTAAAAAAATTACAGAAAATTTTGAAAAAATGTTAATTTTTTTCCTATAAATACCTAACCCTCATCTTCTACCTTTACACCACATTTCAATATTTTCTACACTTTCTATACTATCTACATTTCAATATTTTCTACACTTTAAGAGAAAAAAATGTCTTCGTGGAAGCTCATTGAAGATGTTACGTTGTGTGAATGTTGGGTTCACACTACTCATGATCCGATTATGGGTAATGAGATGGATAAGCGAGAAATGTGGAGTAAAATTACGAAAGCGTTTTGCGATGTACATGGAGAAAACGCCAGAACTAGTCAAGGTCTTTAAGGTCGTTGGAAAAAACTCAACGCATCCTTTACTTGTTGGAAAAACGCCATCTCTCATGCTTCCAGTAACCTCCGTAGTGGGACAAGTTTAGCGGATCAGGTGACAATATTTTTATTTATTTATATGCATTCCACTCACATTAATATTTTGATTTATTTAATTTCGTATGTAATTTTTATGTTATTTCTTATGTAATTTTTATGTAATTTTTATTTAATTTCTTATGTCATTTTTATTTAATTTCTTATGTCATTTTTATGTAATTTATATGCATTCCACCCGTATCAATATTTTGAATTTATTTATTTGTGTTACACCCGCAGTTTTTAACACTATGTTATCCCACATTTTTATAGACACTACAAGCTCAAGCATTCTACAATTCAAAGAACGGGAACAAATCATTCACTAGATGGGAATGTTGGCAAATTGTCAAAGATTGCCCTAAATACAAAATTGTGGCAACTGGTCCAGAAGTTGTCATGCACGGTATGGGTCTACATAGTTCTCCAGAACCAGACATGGCCGAACAAGAAGCCGACACATTTCAAGACACGGAAAGGACGCCTGAACAAGTGCCCAAGACCCAACCGACTCGTCAGTCCCTCAGGCCCGTAGGTAAAAAGGCGTCAAAGAAAAAAGGTAGTTCTTCCAAGAATGACTACACTAAATATATGGAGGAACTTGCTCGCCAAGGTAAATTGAACATGGCACGAGAAAAGGTTAGAGATGAGGAAAAAGTTGCTGCTATGGCAGCAATATTAGCAGATACTGAGGCCCATGATGCGGCGGCTGAGAGACAAAGAGAAGTAGTTAATCGAGATAACGAGCTGGTTAGAGAAGCACTTCATCGAGAAAATAAATTGCTTCGAGAAGAAATGATGGCTTAAGCAGATCATGACACTATGAGCAAGTCTCTAGTATGACTGTCTCCGAATTCTAAATATTTTTGGACATCGGAAAAAAGAGATGTCATGCGAAGGAGGCATGCAAGAGATGCGGAAACAAGTCAAGGGGGTTCTAGCTACTTTTGTGACAACCAAGATCCTCGCACCACATATCCTAACTCGAGAGACTTTGTATAATTTTTATGTATTTTTTATGTTTTTTCTTTCTTTTTTCTTTTGAACTTTATTTAATTTCTTATGTAATTTCTTATGTTTTTTTCTTTTTTTAGGTTTGAACTTTATTTACTTTCTTATGTTTTTTTCTTTTTTTAGGTTTGAACTTTATTTAATTTCTTATGTAATTTTTATGTAATTTCTTATTTATTTTTATTTAATTTATTATGCAATTTTAATGTAATTCTTTATTTATTTTTAAAACTTTATTTCTTTTGTACTTTATTTAAACACATGAAATAAGATTACATAAACTCACCAAATAAATTTAAAAACAAAACACACTACATAGAATTACATAAACTCACCAAATAAACTTAAAAACAAAAAACACTACATAGAATTACATAAACTCACCAAATAAACTTAAAAACAAAACACACTACATAGAATTACATAAACTCACCAAATACATAGAATTACATAAACTCACTAAATAAACTTAAAAACAAAACACACTACATAGAATTACATAAACTCACCAAATAAATAGAATTACATAAACTCACTAAATAAACTTAAAAATAAAACACACTACATAGAATTACATAAACTTAAAAAAAATACAATTTATTCTTCAACCACAAGCCTCATTCTAATTATCTTCGCCTTCATGCAATCCCCACTGGTGCTCAATCAAGTCATTCTGGCGGGTTACGTGTCAGTATGGCTCTTGCACATTAGTGTACTGTTGAACGATCAATTCATTGTAACGTCCATCGCGTTCCAACGGCTCGTGTTGCATTGGATCTTCGGTCCCATCATGAGCACAATAGATACGTGTTCTTGAGTTGTTCATCGGATCCGGCTCATATTCATCGACGCCATCATAATCATACTCATCTTCAACAATCATGTTGTGGAGAATAATACACGTCATCATGATGGATCGAAGAGCCTCGACATCAAACATTCTAGCTGCAGCCCTGATAATCGCCCAACGAGCTTGCAGGATACCAAAACAACGCTCGACATCCTTCCTACACCCTTCTTGACATTTTGCAAAGTGTTTTTCCTTTTCAGTCTATGGATGTGTCACTGTTTTGACAAATGTTGACCACCTTGGGTAAATGCCATCTGCAAGGTAGTATAATCCCTCGTATTGGGTACCATTAATGGTATATGTGCATCTCGGCGAGTTTCCTTGCAGCAGTTCGTCGAACACTGGGGATTGCGCAAGGACATTTAAGTCATTCTGAGCTCCTGGAACACCAAAAAAAGCATGCCAAATCCATGTATCAAATGAACCCACCGCTTCCAAAATGATGTTTTTGGCTCATTTTCTGTTGTCATATGCTTCTTGCCACGCACTTGGACAGTTTTTCCAAGTCCAGTGCATGCAGTCCATGCTTCCAATCATGCCAGGGAAGCCTCGCATCTCACCCTTCCTCAGAAGCCTTCGCATGTCCCTTGGCATGGGTGTCCGGAGGTACTCATTGGTGTAGAGGGCTTCAATTGCAGAGCAAAACCGCATCAGGGACTCCAAAACAGTTGTTTTTCCCATCCTCGCGATCTCATCCACTTGATCTGCAGATGCTCCATATGCAAGCATTCGCAAGGATTCCGTAATTTTTTGCTCGGGAATAAGACCTAGAACATGAAAAGTATCCTCTTTTTGCACAAAGTATGAATCATGGTTGCAAATATCACTCATGATTTTGTTGAACAAATTTCGTTGCATTCTAAAACGCCGTCTAAAATTATGATCAGGGAATATGCTATTGGGAATAAAATAATCTTCCAATAGATTTTTACCTCGTTTTTCCCTTTTTCTATCGAGGTTTGCAACACGTCTTGGTTTGGCTATCTGACCCACGGCTTCCATGACACGGCAGGAATGTGAGGCATTCTGCCTTCTATGGTGATCAACCTCATCCTCCTCCATGAAGAAAGCCTCATATCCACCTCCACTTCCACCTTCCTCGAGATTGGCCAATTTTGCCTGTTGTGCCAACAACCTTTGTTGTTGCTCCTGCAACTGTTTATACACCCTTCTTGAAGAAGACATTGTAATAAGAACTCAAGATTTGAAAACGATGAACAAGGATTCTGAGCTAAAAAGAAGGATTGAGCTTGGTGTGAGGATGGATGTAGGGATGTAGGGTTTATATGGACAAAAAAAAGAAAGGATGAGGTTCTGGACAATGCCACGTGGCACTACGTGATTGGTTGAAAATCTTATCGAAATCTTGGCTAAATTATTGTAAACCGGAAGTGACACGTGGCGTGTCAGGATTGGTCGAAAATATTATCGGAAATCTATCCACAAAATAGTACGTTCAGATAATGACACGTGGCATGATGTGATTGGTTGAAAATCTTATCGAAATCTTGGCTAAATTATTGTAAAATGGAAGTGACACGTGGCGTGTCGCGATTGGTTGAAAATCTTAGCGGAAATCTATTCACAAAATAGTACGTTCAGATAATGACATGTGACGTGACGAGATTGGTTAAAAATCCTATCCGAAATTAAAACTATTTTATTTTTTTATTCTTTTAGATAAAATTTAAAAAAATTTTAAATGGGCTGGGTGCCAGCGCATTTTGTAGGGATGGAGATCGTTTGTGCCAGCGCATTTTTTCACTAGGTGCCAGCGCATTTTTTTAGGGGTGGAGATGCCTTGGCCTATTACTGTTCATTGGAGTCTGTTACTGTTCATTTGAGTGGATAAATGCGCTGGGTACTGGCGTAAAGTCCTTAGGGGTGAAATTGCTCTAAAAGTGTAATTTTTTATTTATTTTTTTTAAGATTAAAAAAAAAGTTGTATAAAGAATATTACCTATATGCTTCCGCTAAAAGAAGTATAATTCAAATAATTGTTATCCCTCCCTAACAATTATAAGAATGACAACATTATATCATATTGGGTTTAGGGTTTAGCGTTCGAGGTCTAGCTTAAATTTGTCAGTGTGATCCTCACCTCTACCTTTAAGTGGGAATTCCACCTAGTACGCTGGGACGAAATATTTTTTTGTCTTTTAGATTGAATCTAGTTTTAATATAGAATTAGTTTGTAAAACAAATTTGGCCACAACTTTTGTTAGGTTTTAAAAACCAAAACCAAAACTTATTGAAGCCAAACCATTAAATTTGTTTCAAAAAATAAAATTCAGAAAGTCAATTTTGTTCAATAAACAAGTGATAGGGTCAAATAAAATCGTTTCTCGTAAGTTGTCACGCAATGAATCATAGTAAATCGGGTCAAAGTCTACGGCCCTTGTCCGGTTCGGATTTGGACCATCCAAAGGAACCGGGCTTAAAAATTTGCTTCTTTAAATAAAGAAGCCAAAACGAAAGGACCGCCCGCGCACCAACCCATCGGAGACTACGAACCCCGTCGTTTTCGGCACTCTGTCGTCGCTTCTTCTTTCTCCTCTTCTGCACAAAACAATGGGGTTCGTCTCCTTCCTCGGCCGCGTCCTCTTCGCCTCCATCTTCATCCTCTCTGCCTGGCAAGCGTAAGCGCTCTCTCTCTCTCTCTCTCTCTCTCTCTCTCTAGATCTGCTGTATTAGGGCTTCTCTCTCTCTCTACCATACATGCTTACTCCTTCAACTTGTTTACTGTTAGCTGATTTATTTGCTTTACTTCTCCGATCTAACTTTTGTAAGCATGTTGCCGTTGGTTTGTTTTCAGATTTCTGATGCCTCTGCATAACATGTGTGTGTTTGTGCGTTTGAAATTTTCGAAGTGAGATTTCAATAAAAAAAATATTGTTTTCTAAGAAAATAATTCAAGGGCTCTGGGTTGTTGTTACTACTTACTGTTCGATTTATTAGTGTTAAGAACTGACTGAGATCTATTAATCTGTGGTCAGTTTCCAAATCCCGGTTGTTTTAATTAATCTCGGCCACGTAGAGAGAGTGAGGTGGTTGAATGACTTGTGAAGATCTAGTAACCTTTTGTGTTGTCTTATGGAATCTTGATTAAGCATAATTTTTTCCGACAGAGAAGGAACTTATTTGCGTATCTGTGAAGTTTGGTTGGGTGCTCCTTGTCTGGTCTTTTGTAAATGAACTTTGGATTTCTTTTTCGACAGACAAGGATGTGGGTTTGGTTGAATGGTGTCTTAACAACTTATTTTACATGTGTAGAATCTTTTTTTGCTCCCTAAATGCTGGTTTGGTTGAAATGTTGATTCAAGTGCTTGTTATAGTTACAAAACTTCCATGTGTATATGGTTGGGATCCAGTTTTCCGGTCTCGTTTGTTTGTTTTGGACGGAATAATTTCCATGTAGAGTATGGAATGGCACTTAAGTTGATAATTTTAATTTCAAAATGTGGTTTCCATTTTCTCTATGGCGGTCGTAAACATTATTGTTTTTTCTATACTTCAAGTCCCCCCACTTTCGCATTCCTCAGCACCAGCACACACATTTGTAAATTTATTTATTTGTGGATATTGGTCAAGGAATTGGCCATTGAGCTGCTCTGACCAATGTAGAGTGAGGAGGCTTTTGACACATGCCAACGTTTACCTCGCAAAGAAAAGAATGCAAGATAAAAGTTGTTACAGTTCCAGTTTATAGTTTGTAACTCCTCGCATGAGTTTTCTGCCCTGATATTGTTAAGTTTCAGTATCTTCAGGCGCCTTACCCGTTGGTTTGCTATTGTTTTAACTTTTACATATTATTTACAGCCTTGCTGTGTATCCGTTTGTATGCTATATTGCAAGAATTATGCACGACTTTGCTAGGTTTGTTGTTGAGATTGTCAAAAATTCTGTTGCACTTTGATGTGTTTAAAAATTAAAACAATATCATGTTCCTTTGTGTTGATGGCACATCTGTATGTGTAGGTTTAATGAATTTGGTGTTGATGGTGGCCCTGCTGCAAAGGACTTGTCTCCCAAGTTTAATGTGTTCAAGAAAAATTTGTCTGCTAAGCTAGGGGTTGCAATACCGGAGATAGACGTAAGTATTTTTATTTCTTTCTCTGCAGTTTCTCCCTTGGATTCTATGGTCATGTTGCGCATTCGTAGTTTGATTTTTGATATGGGAATTTCTTGTACAGGTAAGACATTTAGCTGCTGGTGTGGTAGCAATGAAGGGGCTTGGAGGACTTCTATTCGTACTTAACAGTTCCTTTGGAGCTACTCTCCTGGTTAGTATTCATTTTTTCCAAGTTTCTGATCAACATATTAGGTTTTTGAAAATTATTGACACGTGTAATGTTATTCTATTGTAGCTTCTACAATTGGCGATTACCTCTCCCCTTATCTATGATTTCTACAACTACAGTCCTGAAAACGCCAAATTTGGCATACTCCTAAATGAGTTCTTGCAGGTTGGTATACACTGCGTATTGCTATATATGTTTGTTCATCGTAGATCAATATTCCATGTGAGTGGCAACTTAATCTGCTGAGATTCCATTTTTTTTGTTACAGCACGCAGCGCTTTTTGGTGCGCTGCTTTTCTTCATTGGCATGAAGAACTCAATTCCAAAGAGGCAAGTCAAAAAGAAGGCCGCCCCAAAAACCAAAACGGGTTAGAAGTATATCAAGGGGGTAATAGATCTTCAAGAAGCGTTTAAAGTTTAGGTTGTTGAAGTTGCTGCTGCTCCCCATACTTATGACGGGGAGGATAAGTATTCTTATCAACACTCTTGTAATTTTATTCGAATGTTCTTTGGTAGGATTCATTACTTTGGTAGGATTCATTACTTTGATTATTCCCTGTTGTGGGGTTCAGAAACACTGTTTACTTGAAGTTCTGAATTGGTTGTGGCCTGTGGTTTTCCTTTGCTCACAAGTCATACAATCTGCGCTTGCTAAATGAACCATAAGATTCAGAAATCGCCGGTGGTTGCGTTGGGGTACGAGTGGCAGTGAGTGGGGAATGAGGGAGGTTAGGGATTGCTGACTAAGGTGAGTAAATGGTTTAGGGTTTATGGAGTGTGGTTGGGGGAGTTCTTTGGTAATGGTCCATGATGATCCAAGTTGATGGGGGTTGGTGTCGTTCCCTCTGTTAAAAGTGTTATATAAATGTCTGCGATCAAGTAAATAGCTTTACGAATAAATGGATCAGATTGAATTGGAAAATATATAGAATTGAAAAAGTTATGTCCTTTGTTACCTTTTTTGTGGAAAACCATCAGGTATTATGTTAAGCACCTGTAACTCGATGCTTAAATAGTATTTCTCTCCATAAAAATTTCACAAGGAAAGAACAAATAGAGGAGGAAGAGAGGGGCCGTGATGAGGGAGGAAAGTAAAAGAGAGGGAGATTTTATTTTCTTTACCGTTTTTCTTTTAATTTATTTAGTTTTATTAATTTTAAATTTTTAAAAATTAATAATATTTATAATCCACTACTATCAGAAGGATACACACTCTTATGTGTGGAAAATCTATCTTTTTATTTTTTATTTTTCTCAAATATTTGTTTTTTAATATTTTTTAATGGAAGAAGTTATTTGTTTTCACGGGTTGGCACGTATCCGGCCAAAAAAAGGGATTGCCCAGTTAAGACCATCTCCAACCGTTGGGCTAAAAGTAAAAAATTTTAGCTGGACAATTTAGCTTTTAGTCCAAAAACAGTTTTTCTGCTCCAACTCTTCTGGCCTAAAATTTTAGCCCTGGATTATTAAAGAATGAACTTAAACTAATTTTTTTCTTAAATTTACTTTGTTTTAAAAAAAAATTATGTAGACTATCGTAAATTAATTCTATGAACATTTTAATCTAAAAATATTTAAATTCCGATAAATATTGAAAAATCACTAAATCCATATATGAAACTCATGAAACACTATGGAAGAATATGAAAATCATGATAGAGATGTATAAACACAAAATTTGGAAATGGTAGAAAGAAAATTTGGAATAATTGTAAAAGAAAAGTGAGTTTTGTGTAGATGTTTGAACAAATACATAGGTATTTATAGAGTTTTTTGGTAAATTTTGAGTTAAATATTTTTTTTTAATTATTTTAGTCGTTGGATTTAAATTTGGGCAGCCGTTGAATTCATTAAATATATAAATATAAATTTGAATCTAGGCCGTTGGATCAACCAACTGCTTGTTGATCGTGACCGTCGAATCAAAATAACCATTGGGGAGCCTAGGAAAGGTGGCCAACAGGCCCACGTGAGTGGGGCATTGTCTGTCTAAAGGGTCGCGCGTCGAGCGCGTCAGGCGAGTGGGTGAGGGGGGGGGATTGGCACATAGACGCTGGGTTTCACTCATTTAGGTGAGGCCCACACCGAATCATGGGCTAGATTTTGGGGGGAATTTGGCTTGGGTTTGGCTTTTAGCTTTTAGCCCAACGATTTGGCTTGGGTTGAGTTAGGTTTGGGGGGAGGGGAATAGGGGGAAATTTAGCATTTAGTTCATGGTTGGAGATGGTCTAAAGAGATGAGAGAATAGTGGGAGAAATGTGCAAGTTTTTATCTTTTTTAACTTTTATTTTAATTATGGCAATTACTGTTTTATCCTTATCTTATTCTCATTTTATTAGTTTGTGTTTTCTTTATGTTAATGTATGGAAGGACAATTTTGAATAAGAGGTTGATAAGCAATGTTTTGTTAATAAATAGTATTGATTGATTGCGTAAATGGGTCTATACGTCACATCAACATATAAAAATATTTTTGACAGGATTGTAAAGCAAGGGCTAGATTGACGTGTGGCACTCATATTCAAAGACATTATTAATCAATTTTCTATTTTAAAGACTGTCATAAAATGGTTTAATTTCAGAAATAATTTGTAATAAAATCTATAATTTATATTTTTAATTTACAGGAATAATCAAACTTGATACGTAAGAGGTTGACAATGACATATTGTCCGTCCTAGTCAACTGATTAGCCCACATATGTAAATAATCCATCGATTAACTTGACCACAATTGAAAATGACCTTAAAGTGTTAATGAAAAAAATTGTGTTCAGATTGGCAATATTGAAAATAATAAGATGGTCGGGACTTGGGCGATGAAGAGGAATAACCTTAACTTTTATCATATGTGCTATTGAAATAGGGTAGTCAAAATCAGTCGCAAGAAATGTTTTTTACCCACTAGTTAATTTTTAGTAAATTAGGTAAAACATACTAATAATTATAAATTTCATAACTCCAAAAATCCAATTGGAGAAAGAAAAAAAAACCCTTAACAAACCACTTGTAATGTTCTTTATTTTATTTTATTTTATTAATGTTGTAATGTTCTTACCAAACCTCAATCATGACAATACTTAAAAGGCAGTTTAATAACTATTTCATTTTTCATTTTTTTTTTAACTTTTTAATTGAAAACTTGTCGGTAATTAATTACTTACTTGTTAGTTGAAAAATTAGCACCGGTTTCCTAAGATATTAAACCGGTCTGGTTCAGACCAGGCTTGGGTTGAAATAGAAGGTTGGCCCGTGACGACCCATTTTCCAGACCCAGAAATAAAGAGAAAGAAAACAAGAGAGACTCACTGTAAGCACTGAAACACACAAAGCGAAGCAACATCAAGGAGGCGAACCGCCATTTGAAGCTCCATGGTATGAACCCTCTCTCTCACTCTCTATCTATCTATCGATCTCTCGTTGTAATTTTCACAGCTGGTGCCTTGCTACTTCCCAGGATTACCTGAAATCCGTGGTTCCCTCACAGCTGCTCTCCGAGCGAGGATCCAATCTGGTCATCATCAACCCAGGTACTTAATTTCCCAGTTTTTTACAACTCCATTCGATTTTTCAGCATAAACCCATCAAATTTTACAACGCAAATCGCAAAACCCACATCCCATTTCAAATTTTAGTCACTAATTTTGGTCCTTTCCATTTTGGGTTGTTGTTGTTTTGGGAGCTCAGGTTCTGCAAACATCAGAATTGGCCTTGCTTCGAAGGACACCCCTCTTAATATTCCACATTGCATTGCATGGCACACCACGCAGGAGCCCAGGAGAAATGTTCAAGACCAGGTTTCGTGTTGTTCCTTAAACTTTACGTACTATTTTAGTGTTTCGTAGGGTTCGGTCGCGATTGATTGTTGATGTTTTTAGTTTCTTTTGGATTGCTTTTGGGTTTCAGCTGCTCAATACTCAAGTTACGACTACGCAGTACATGGAGCGGGAAAAGGCCTACGATATGGTGAGTCTATGCACATTGCTTTGTTTAATGCGTTAACTTGTTAGATTTGTATTTGGAGTTTGAATTTAAGCTTTATTGTTTCTTCCGTTTTGAAGATTGCGTCGTTCTTGAAGATTCCGTTCATAGATGAAGAGGTTGGAAATAATTCTTACCCACGCAAGGTATGCGTATTTTTTGCTTGAAATTAGCATTGTGTTTGTTCGTTTTCATACAGATAGTGCGCTATGCACCTGCCATACCAATGTAAAAGGAGCTTGATCTTTATGATTTGGACCTTGGCGATTATGTGTTTTGTTCATTGAAAATGAAATGATGAAGCTGATGTGCAGATGGGACGCGTTGATGGACTTAATCCACAGAATAGTAGAAAGGACACATCATTTGATTGGACAGATGTGTACCAAAAGGAACCTAGTTCGTCTTCAGCATTAGGTCATGCAAGAGTCCTTGTATATCAGTTGTTCTACTTTTCTTGATTGGGTGTATGGACATTTAACTTGATATTATTCCACTGCAACTAATATTGTCTTCTTTGGCACACATTTCCTCAAATAGTCATATTAACTGTGCAGAAAGTTCAGAGAACAAAGGCACAACTAGCGAGTCTTTAGGCCAGCACAGAGATGCAAATACTGAGGAGCTTGGCTCTAGCAATCACAAATACAAAAAGGTCATCTATGGTGAGGAAGCACTAAAAATATCCCCCATGGCACCATATACCTTACATCGCCCTATACGTAGAGGTCACCTAAATATTTCGCTACATTATCCCATGCAGCAGGTACAGTTCCTGTTTTCATTATCCTTTTAACTCAGAGATATGAATCTACTTTGGTTGAGTTGCCATTGTAGAATTTCAACTTCACATGGGTTCTGATTACATCTTCTCCTATGAAGTTTTTGGGATGACATGTGACATATTTCATCACAATAAATTGGCAAAATCTAGTAATGTAAACTTTTATGCTTTAATGCATTATTCAATACATAAAAGTTTCTAATTTTCATGAGATATTGAATCTCATTTACATTTTGCATGTTTCATTAGGTACTTGAAGACGTACATGCTATTTGGGATTTTATTTTGACAGAGAAACTGCACATCCCTCTACATGAAAGACACAAGTATGCAGCTATGCTCGTCCTTCCAGAAACATTTGATAATCGAGGTACTCAAAATTGTAGTCTGTTCCTTAGATTGAGAAAATACTCCTTTGTCCTCACATTATCTGTCTTAGTCATTGGACTTCCATGGCTATAAGTTGTTTTTATTTCAAAATTTGTTTCCACTGCCATTTAGGATTGCCAACTGTTTCTATTTTTTAGAAATGCATTCCTACTTTATGTAGGTATTTTTCTTCTTCTGTTATAATGGAAATATTTGCTAACACAAGGTGAATGCTACACGATCTGCAAATTCTTTTACTTGATGAATGATGTGTCAATCAGAACTTATACGGATAACCGTACCTTTATTTAAAGAATTTTTTTCCATCTCACTGAAGAAGAGGTTCTTCCTAAGTATACTAGTGACAACAAGAAAAATTCATTTAGAACTAGCCTGTTTCAACTTGAAGTTGGACATATCCTTCCTCATTATCATTTTATCCTATAAGAAAAAAATGCTTTTATCAAAACTCCCGTTTTGCATCCTTCTCAAAGAGCTTATAAGTTTTGTTGAGCTG